CAGGGCGGGATAAGTCTTTAACCCTATCTAGACCGGGCTGTTTTTGGGCTTGGTGGGACGGGAGGGGGGGGGGGGGGGGGCTCATTCCCCCCCCCCCCCATCATAACTCGCGAACGGCATATCGTAAGACCACCAAATTTTTAGAGGATGGTGTACTAGTAAAATTTATCATACGTACACTTTCTATGTCGTTGTGACGTAATATGACGTCATTATGGCGTCATCAATGTGATTTTATTGGCCAAAACCGACTAGATAGGTTACTAATATTCCCTGAAAACTAAACAGTATACGACATAACTACCAAAAGTGTTTATGGCAGAATATTAGGATGTACTAAGTCTTATGTTGCCCATAGCAACACCGGTGACGTCATAAAATGACGTCATGCATATATTACCTATCCGCCATCTTGGATCATCAATCTTGAATTTTAAAAAAATATTTTTTTTTTTCAGGATAAAGCCTAAAATACATTGTAAACAGACTAAAGACGTTCATATGAACCTTTTTGGTAAAAAGAAATGGGAGTATTTATGAAATGTTAAGGAAAATAAGCTGTATTTACCTGATTTAATGATATGGTCCGACATCTTGGATTTTGGCCAATGACGTCATAAAGTTAGCATAAAGTATGCATTTTCAATAATAAAATTTACATATAACTATAGGTGATATTATTAATATTAGAAACAATGTGTAACTTGACATAAAACCCATAAAATTCTGTTGTTTGAATGGAAATTATTAAATTTGGCAAAAACTGCCTGTCAGAAACCCGTTGCCATGGCAACAAGAAAAAAATCATAATCTTATTCCACTGATACAGATTTGTTGCCAGCAATATTTTAGGAAAAGTCACCAAGTTTGGCGGTTCTAGCTCTAGCCGTTCAGACGCTATGTGACATCAAAGTTGCCCCGGGCACTTTTAGCCCCCTCCCCCGGTCTAGATAGTGTTAAAGTTCTTTAAAACCAAGATATTGTAAAGATAGTCCGCCATCTTGAATTTCCCGCTAACCGTTACGTGATCGCTAGGCGTACAAGGAGCTATGTTTCCGCGTAATGGATCGTATGTATTCCGTAAAATTCGTATGTTTCCTATAAATGGATCGTATGTACTCTGTAAAATTAGTATGAATTCCGTAAAATTCATACCAAATCTGTCGCACCCCAAAAGAACTTTTGGACATCTGGTCCTAAATTTCACTTCTCCTGTTGATATGTATTTACAAAAGAAGTTCATTTATGTGCTTGATCTTACTCTAATATTGTTGACTTTGCATTACCTTTGTCAGGATTCGTGGTACTTCTTTGTTTTGTTGTATGTCATTTTTTCATGAAATACGAAACGAATGACATACCTGTACACCCCACGCCCACATCCTGGTCATGGTTACAGTTGGAATCGTGAATGGTCCACCCTGGGTACGAGCAGTTGAACAGGCTATTCTCGTTCCCATTACATTGTAAGTCATCCATGTAGACTGGCCCGCGTCCTGTGTTGAAAATGCCATGTATTACTGTCACAAAATGATAATCAACATGAAGACATGATAAAATGATTATTTAACCCGTGTTACATAAAGTGTTTATTATATTTCAGTCCATACCATGGTATGGATGAAATATATTGTGTTCTCTGGTGTTTCTTCTTCTCCTCCTTCTCCTCCTCCTGCCAAACAGTCAAAGGTATTCAACTCCGCCATCATTCAGCCAAATGACTTGAAATTTGGCATGGAGGTAGAGTAGGCCAATACCCCCAGGCGTTTTTTTCATTTTTTTGATACATGCCTTTGAAAAATTTTTATGAAGGTTTTTTGGGGCATTTTTCGCCAAAAAATGGATTTTTGGATCCTGAGCCCTGGTTTTACAACCAAATGATCTGAAATTCGGTATAAGGGTACCTTGAACATGTGTCTACAGAGTAGCAGTCACATATTTGGCATACACCACTTCCAAATGACTCATTTGGAGGGCTTTAATGGCTATTTTCAGCAAAAAAAGGGGGCCAAAAGTGCTGTACCCGTTCCATGTTCTATCTAAAGAATGGCCAGTTCCATCCATGGAACACGTGTTCCATAGCGGGTTACCCTGAGGTCACATTGCACGTAAGTCATGCGGAATGACCCACACATTCAATTTTATGTGCCTAAGACCTTCAAAATGTATCAAATCTCATCATTGTTAGTATTTGCATACCTGTAATAAGACTAGTAAAGCTTTCGAGATTCAATGTGCTTGATCTTGCATCTTTGTTCTCAATTACATACCTACTACTACTACTGTATATAATTCATTTATTTGAGAATCTTTGCCAGTTTTACACTGGGGTAAGTTTGGAATAGTCCACTTTTGTCGTGGGAGGGAGGATGGAC